TTTTTTTAAAAAAAAAAAAACAAAAAAAATTTTCATACAAGACAATCCCTTGGCAAAGAAATTCAAGGCATTGGTCTGCCTAGTAAACTCAATGTGCCAGATGCAAAAACAAAGGACAGAGCCAAAAAGACCCAACATGGTTTCTTAGGAAAACTACAAAGTTGTTTCAAAATAAAAAAACCAGATGATATAGGAAATAAAGCACCAGCAAATTTGGTTAAAATTACTATACAAAAAATTAAACGTTGAAATTTACCGGCGGCGCATGCCCCTTGAGGAGGGCAGGCCCACGTCCACGGCCCATAGCACTTGCAGCAGCCTCACCTTGAGCACTCTCTGACTTTGGGTTTTTGACAGTCTCATCCACACTAAGAACAAGGCAAGCTGCTTCTGTTGCAGCATTTATGGCACTGAATTTCACAACTGCAGGTTCCCATACAAAGTTAGCAAATGTATAGGTGATGCCACCGGTGTTTATGTCCACACCATAACGGGCACCTTCCCTAGATGGTAGTGGATGTTTCTGTCTGAGCTTGTTCAGAACATCAGTTGCATCAAAACCAGCCTTATCACATAGTTGGCGTGGGATAATCTCAAGTGCTTTGGCATATGAGTTAATAAACAATTGAGATTTCCTAGCTATAGTCCTCGCATGCTGTCTCAGGTATCTACTTATCTCCACATCAATAGCACCACCACCAGCAACAACAGTCGAGGTCCTCAGTGCTGTTCTCACAATCATAATGGCATAATGAAGGCTTCGTTCTGCCTCCTCGATGAACTGATCTGCACCACCACGTAGAACAATGGTTGTTGTCTGGCCACTGGTGGGACATCCACTAAAAATGTTGAACCTCTCATTTCCTACTTGCTTTTCTTCAAAAAGCTCATAGCATCCAAGTACTTCATCAATGATGTTATTGACAGAAGTTTGCACAGTCCCACCAGTTGCAGCAGCAACCCGCTGCAAATCCTCCTCTGTTACACGACCAGCACAAAGATATCGCGATCGGCAAAGTACTGTGTTTCCAGATCACCAATAGCCAGACGTGAGAGAACTATCTTTGCCCCAGATTTGACACATTTATCCAACTTGTCATAAATGATAGTCCACTCATAATCAACAATAGATTGATATTGAGCCTGATCTCTGCATTTTCTTTCTCTGATTTCACCTCTAACTCTTTAATAATAGAATTTTAGGATTCGAAAACGCTTTCGGTTGTTGTTCAAAGCTAGCATATGAGAATGTCTTTTTAAATGCAAGTCCCTTTACAAGAAAAGAATCTCTCATGTTTACACCAGGAACTTTTTCACACCAATTAAGTTCAACCTATCATCCTCTCCTATGGCCATTTCAGCATCCACAACCATTGAAGCAAAAGATTCCTTTTCACCACCTATGAGTGTTGAAGAGAGGGTTGTTGCAGCACACTTTTGCATCAGATCTTTCTTCTCTTCAAAACTTCGGCCCTCTATGCTTACTGCTAGTTCCTTAATTTTGTTAATTGCCAAATAGGATGTAGTACGATAACTGCGTATTAGCTTCCGAGGATGCACCCCATCCTCAATGAAAGGACTACAGTAGTAGTCCCATCACCGACCTCTGAATCTTGAGAATTAGCAATGGCAACAAGGGTCTTAGCAGACGGATGAACAATATCGAGAAGCTTCATAATGGTGGCTTCATCATTCGAAATGGTGGTGTTCCCTTTATCATCGTGGATAAGCTTGTCCATTCCTCGAGGACCTAGGGTTGTTCTCACTGAATCAACAATAGCTGTGCAAGCATTGATATTACTGATCAGTTGTGGCTTCCCCTGGGAAGTGTCTGTTCCCTCCTTCAAAAGTATGATCTGGGGTTCATCATGGCCGCCATTGCAAAGAACAGAGTGAGATTCGGCGTTCACTCTTGCTTGATGAGTTTTGCGCGAGGAAAGGGAGAGAATCATAAGTGGAAGGAGAAACAAATTAAAATTAATCATTATTAATGCAAGGGACAAAATATTCGCAATATTAATTATAATGTGTGCAATCACATACTTCTTTCGTGTTCTCAGTGTAAAATTCATTCGTTTTTTTTCTCTTTTTTCCCCTTTTATATTTGAATGTGTACAATATATGAAGCATATATTACATGTACCATAATGTAAGTCATGTTAGTCTACATGTGACGATTCTTTCATGCTTTTCCTTCGTGGCAAGATTCTTTCATGCTTTTGGCCCTTTATCACTATGTATGGGTCTAAATGAAGACTTTAACAACACAGTTCTTCATATATTTCCGTATACAATAATGAATAAGTTTATTTGAGAAAGCATCAATGGGAATTTTTGTAAGTTAGGCGGCCCAGGGCAAAGTTCAGCGGATTAGGTCCTTGGCCCTTGCGCAATTTGGTGGGGGTTGGCCAGCTACGAACTTCCCAATATAATTTTAGATATACCACATAGGATATTGGGGGAGACCATGACACATGTTCATTTCCGAATATAGAAGTAACATCGGATTAGATGTTCCACATTATCCATCCGGTAAATCAATGGCTATATTTTCATTCCTAAAATTAAATATATTTTAGATTTACTCAATAGAAATTTCAACGTATCTTCAAATATAAAAATAAGAATTATTAAAGATTTGTTTTATATGTTTTAATAAGATTAAAATTTATAAGAAAAAAGAGTAAATAGCAATATGGAATAATTATATGAGGCAATAAACTCACATAAATAATATCAAGGTCCCACAATAATAAGAAAGTTGCTGGGAGATCAATAAACTCACCTACATAATATCAAGTTCCCAAAATAATAAGAAAGTTGCTGAGAGATGATAAAGGGATTTCCAATGCATAAGTTTGTTAGAAAGGTTTTAAATAAAGTTTTTCATAAAACTTTTACTAAATATTATAACTTGGATTAAGCCACGGAACGAGGGCTAAATTACCAAAATGACATAATAGTTTCGAACCTTGAACACGAAATTCATTATGGACTTAGCATGATACTTAAATAAGTACACATGTAAATGAGATCATTTGACCACTTCAATAATTTTGTAAAGTGATTTAAATATGATGTTTTCCTTTTTTTTAATGCAATTATTCTTTTTTAATTTTACCGATGACCATAATTTTAAAATAAAATTAAAATACGACAATAAGGTTTATGAAATGAGTAAATACCACACTTAGCATTACTCCTCTTCCAATAATAACTTATGGGATGTAAAATATGTGATCAGACTTATAGATTTTTTTAGCTTGTTATTAAGTTGTTGGAAGTTATATTCCTTTAGCTTCGTATTAAAATTGCAGTTTTGTTCTTATTCCTAAACTGTGATATATTTTCTATTTATTTACAAAGGGACCTTTTGTATGAGGGGGCCACAACTATTTCCACTCATTATATGTCAAATTAGATACCAGACTGAGCTTGACTAGCATGGTAAGTCGGTTAGAAACAACCTATATTTTCTAGGAATAGAAAACTATCTGATAAGGGTTCTAATAGGTCATTCCTTGATGAGGTCGGAGTATGTCCGAATAAGTGAGCCGAGAGACTGTGTGACCCTTGTGTGTGTTGGTGGCTTTTAAAGACGATGGTCAAAGCCTCATCTGCGAACCATCACACGACATGCATATATGATAGTCGTTTCGAAATAGCGAACCACCTTTTAGGGCGAAGCTTACGCATGTGCGAGAGATACCACTATGGGTCATAAGAGTTGTGGTCGCATCATGTCTAGATGAGATCTACAAACTGGGATTATGACCCTTTGCTTTATCTACCAAACTTTGGTGACCCATGAGCCCTTACATGGACTATGGATCATGGAAAACAGTGGGTCGGTTTGATAAAGCAAGTATAGACCGTAGTCCACAGTTGAAGGTGAAGTGTCCCAGCATTTATTTATTAAACTCCGAGACTATATGGATCTGTTAACCATTTAATAAATTTAATTATATTTGTTTGAATGATATATGCTTTTTTGAATTATTATTTGAATTTTTCTAGATCTCTGGATATTTTATTTATCAAATTTGAATTTATAAAAACAGATATATTGATTTTAAATTGATTTAATTACTCACATTGAATTTAATGAATTTTTAAAAATCACAATTTATTTCAATATGTTAATGGGCCCACCATTGCATGTCGGTAAGGGGCTATGAAGTACCCACCTAGGGTGGCATGCCCCACCCTAATGAAACTTTCCTTGTGTTAGTTCAAGCTTTGGCTTGAAAAGAAAGCTTTGAAGGGTTTTGGAAAGATTTTTCCTTGAGGAAGCTTTCAAAGGATTTAAGACTTGTGCATAATTTTGGTAAGCACGAATGGAATTATTTTATTTCATTTGAGAAAGTGATTTAAGAATGGGGGATAAAGGATCTAGCTCCTTCCATGATGTTGATGGCACATCTATGGAATGGAGGGCTCAAATCTCTTGCCCCACGAGTCACCCAAGATCAATGGTTCATATTCAATCTTACAAGAAGAGGCAAGTTAAGAAAACCTTAAGAACCCATTTAAGCACTATAAAAAGAGATGGATCCCTCGCCAAATCTCGAAACGTTATCTTTTACACCTAATTTCTATCTCCATCTCTCTCAAATCCCACAAAGGGGCATGCCTCACTTAAAATATCTCTTTTGAAAAAAAAGTTTCTCTCTCTCCCTCAAGAGACCCAAAGGGGCCCACTCTCTTTTCTTCGATATCTCTCTCATGGTGGTTCTCTCAACTCTCTCATGATCTCTCATCTCTCATTGGGGTTTTAGACTATAGGGTTGTGGAAGAAAATAGAAGCATCTCTATCTCAAACTAAGTTGTTAAGGGGATTCACATAAGGATTTGATATTTGTGATAAAGGAGTTCATAGTTCCATTAGAGGTTTGGGCTAAACTTGCTTTTCTGGTTTGAGATAGAAGATTGATGATTGATCCTGTACCATTAGATGGTAGTGTCTCGGTGTTGGGTGTAAAACATCCTGTTGAGATAATTTCGAATACTCTCTTTTTGTCTTTTACCATATTTAATTATATACTCTTTATGTTCTCAAGCATATAATTTCCAAAATCATAAGAAAGTTTTTCAAAGAGGAAGAAATTGCATTTTTTTTTTCTAATGAGGCTTTTGAATAATATTTGTCATAAAGGTTTACCAAGTTGGCATATTTCCTCTATTTTAAGATGAAGGATTTCATTTATACTAAGTTCCCTAAATTCGTCCTTTGAAATATCACTTACTACGCATCTTCTCAACCAGATTTAGAATAGGGTGCGGTTTGTATAAGGTGTCAACCTTAACGATTCAACTAAGCTACATCTTTCAAAGCTCATGGAAAGATGTAATTTTGGTTTTTGAAAATTTCAATGATGACCTCAAAAACTACTTCACGGTTTGATTATGAAATTTGAAACTAAAAACTGGTACAGATCAAGTAGATATACAAACACATGAAAATCTTGAGAATAGACGGTATAACTAATTTATTGCAAGCTGCACTACTTTTGGCACTTGAAGATCTTTTTCTTTTCACATCTATACATCTCGATGTTGATTTGATCAGTTCGATAACTTTTCACCATCAAAATAAGAATTTTTTTGATAGATTTTTTAGGGATGCAATTTTTCTCCAACTTAAGATTTGCATCTTTATATAAACCTTTTCTTTAGAATATGGCAATTTTTATAAAATTTATCTTGGAAGAACTACCTCACAGTGCATGTATTACAACGTTATACACATTCAAACAAAAACCACTCGTAATATTAGGGGTCTCTGAGTTACCCCTTTTGTTTTTGATTCATGCTTATAATTCATTTCTTGATGAATCTCTTCTACAGGGTACAGATTCACTACCTTCAGGATTTGATAGGCTGAGATATCCAAGTCCGCTGCCTAGAAGTGACTCTCAACAATATTGTATGTCCTTCTATTTACCATTTTCTATGGTACTTATTATGGGCACTAAAGTCTCTCGAGGTGGTTAAAGATAATAATAAAGAAATGAGGGAAACAATTCTGTATTTTATATTGACTTTTCGAATTTATAATATTGCAGTTGGGGGAAGGTGTACAGGGGAAGAGATGCTTTGGTTGGGATTGGGAATACTATCAAGATTCGTGTGGGTCCCTTCAAGGGCTACCGTAGTCGTGTAGTAGATGTTGATGGTTCAACTGTTCGAGTTGAACTGGAATGACAGATGAAGGCTCTTACTGGTAAGTACTTTTGTGTTATTATTGTGATTGCCTTTTGTGTTGGTTTTCTTTTATTTTTGACAAAAAGTAATATTCTAATATGCAGTTAATAAGAATCAAATTGCTGAAGTTGAAGTTATGACGATACTTAGTTAAAATGGTTATTGCCTTTCCTATTATTGTTTGGCTAAGAAGTTTACACTGTTTCTTAATATTGGTTGTTATGTGCCTATGAGATGAAATTTTATGTGCCTATCAGGATTCATCTCAACGGTATGGTTTGGGACACGAAACCCAATGCTTCACATGACTCCGATGAGAGATGCAACGGTATGGTTTGGGACACAAAACCCAATGTTCCACATGACTCCGATGAGAGATGCAGGATGTATGCATTTACTGTGGTGGTCTTAATTTTTAACGCTCTTGAAATAATTCCCTATTACATCAACATTTTGGTTTTAAAGATTGATGTAAATTTAATTGATGACTTCTTCTATACAGGGGCCACTTCAATCCATGATGGAATGCGAACTGCCATGTGTGACCGTGCATGGAATCCTTGTGCACCAATGAGCACATAAAGTATAATGCGGGGTCCTTTAGGCTTTTAAAGTTATGCAACCTTTCTCTTTCCCATTTTGTGTAAAAGAGAACTATTATAATGGAAGTTTACAGAAAAAAAAGACAGGCTTAGAACTTCGGAAATTTTCCTCAGCGAACTTTCTAAAACTTAGACAACTTGAAAGATCGATGTTTTGTATACCTAGTATCTCAGTCTACTAAATGTTTTAGTGTAGGGTCATGTGCTATTGAGCAATAAGTATACTCGTGGGTAATTAATGAGGTTGTTGTCATGTTAATCTTTTCTTCTTATTTCCTTTGTCAATAAAGATAAGAAGATAAACTTGCTGTATTTGCATTTAAATTTGAGAGAGTCGTATCCATTACAAAGGCGATATTCCGAACTCGTATGATCAAGAGGCGATATTAATGCATTTAGAAGTTATTTGTACTCTCCCTTCTTTCTCTACTTAATCAGCAAAGCCCATCTCTTTTTTCCTAAACCTAATTCGTTCGCGGTGAAATTTCGGATTTATAGCCCTGGCTAGACATTATGAAAAAGACGAGGAGGACTATGATGGTGGAAGATGAAGAAGCAGAAGAGATCAAAATTGATAGATGATGTGGTTGAAGATGATTACCGCTTGAGAAAACGCAAGTTGACCTGGTTCTGAGTTGTTAGACGATATCGCACCTAGTGCAAGTGATGATGATGACGAAGAGGAAGACAAAGGAGATACCCGTAAGCTCGATTTTAGTTCTTTCTCTCTCTATTGATTCTTTTTTCTCTCTCTTTCTAATTTTCTGATGTTTCTAATTTTCTTTATTCAGTCTAATTACTGCAAAATTTATGGGGAGTGGAATTTTTATTTCAAGATGTGAATATGTTGTTGTTTCTTCTTATGAGTGGTTTTGATAATGGGATTTCTAAGCACTCACAATGGTTCATGCCAAAAAAAATATTCTAGATTGTGGTTCATATCATTGAAAGTTTTGGAAAGGAAAAAGAAAAAAAAAAGTAAAAAGAGGGAAAATATCATGTTTTATATTTCATGCCCTTATTTTCTTCTTCTCACAATTCCCTCTCTTTAGTTAATTTTTTCAATTTATTTAATTTACATTAACACTAATTTACTTAATGTAAATTTCTTTAATTTACATTTAATTTATGTTTATGTTATGTAATGCTATTTGTTGTAGGCATGAGTGTTAATTTAATGTTTTAATGTCCATATGCTCTAATGTACCTAGCTCTTGTAACTTGTAATCATTTTCGAAGCCACTATTGAGGCTTACTTTCTTTAAAGGATTATACTCAATAAAATATTTTGACTCAATTATTTTATGGGATACGTTGACTCTCTCTGGATCATAAGTCCTCTATAATGAACAAAGCTAGTAAATGATCCTAGAATGTATTCTTTTCTTTAATAAGATCGTGGAGAATGTGTGTAGATTGTACGGTCTTTTGTGGCCATACCTGTTGTTCTTGATTTTCCTTGGGAGTGGCTATCCTGTTGTTTGAATTTTATGAGCTTCGGACAGATCTAATCAAATCACCCCACTATGTAGAAATGTCAAACCTATAGGCTCAACTCTAACTGGCACGTTTAAGCGTAGCCATAAGTACCTAATGTGAATCAACTTTGCTCCCTGATCTTTTAACCTCTACTTTAATGGCAGGATAATGATGTTCCACTACGAGAAAGTTGCGGCTTCTATTTTAATTTTCTATGGTTTGATATGGGTAGGAAAATAAATTTCTATAATTGAGATGATGAAGAACGTTTCCTCTTGTGTCTGAACGGTCATGGTGTATAAATTGCTGCTCTGATATTATCAATCTCAGCATTCATGTCAGTGCTGTGATGTACTTCATAGAGAATAATCACCGAATTACAGTTTGATTTCTAAAAATACTAGAATTTAGTTATTTGAAGCAATTATGCATAGCCCTATTTTAGTATTTCTCAACAAATAGAAATATTTTGCATAATTATATACCTCTATTTCATGTTCATGTGACAGATTTTATTGATGTGGGAAATGAGTTGCAAGACGGGTGCATCGTGGACCTTTTCTACGAGAGGAAGAACAAGATTTGGAAGACCTTGAAAGGTTAATTAAAAAAAAATATGGTCAATCAGATCATTTAGAATACGAGGAGAAGACTACACAGATTGTGCAACAAGCTCTTTTGCCCTCAGTGAAAGATCCAAGGTTGTGGATGGTCAAATGCGCGGTATGTTGAGCCAGTGAGGGAGAGAAAACAAAGTAGGAGGACATTTCCTTTAATCTTTTTTGTTATATACTCTTAACATTTGATGTTTTATGTTTTTTATCAGATTGGCCATGAAAGAAAGGTGGCTTTCTGCTTGATGCAGAAATGTATGGATGTGCAATCTCAAGGAATAAAACAACAGATAAAGTCGGTTATTACATTGGATTATTTGACGAATTATATATACATTGAAGCAGACAAGGAAACTCATGTCAAGGAGGTATGCCCCATCTATGACTTTTATTTTTGTGTACGAACTTCATTTTCTGGTTTTTGTTTATACCATACATGAACTTTATTTGTGTGCACTATGGGCTCAATGTAATTTTTTATAAATATTTTAAAATTGAACAAAATGAATTTTAAAACATTATAACTTTGTAAATTAATAACTTCATTTTTATAAGTCTAAAAGTAATAAATAAAATATCAAATGACTTAAAAAAATTCAAATAATAAATCTAAAATAATTTAATAATAAAATAAACACAATTAAATTAATATGATTGGAAAATGATCCATATGGTTTTAGGAATTCAATCTGTAATTATGGGGTACTCCACCTTTAACTGTGGATTACAGACCACACTAGCTTTATCGAACTGACAAAGTGTTTTTCATGACCCACAGTCCAAGCAAGAGCTCATTAGCCAGTCACCAAAGTGTTTCCCATGACCCACAGTCCAAGCAGGAGCTCATTAGCGGGTCGCCAAAGTGAGTCAAGGGGTCGCAATCCCAGTCTGTGGATTATATGTCCTCCCCTAGAGATGAGTTAATGTCACGATGACCTAATGCGACCACAGCTCTATGGTGCATAGGGGTATCTCTCGTACATACATACGCTTCACCCAAAGGTGGATATCTGGCTTTCCCAAATGATCTATCGATATGCATGCCGTGTGATGGAACATGGATGAGGTTGTGGCCCCCGTCTCAATAGGCCTACCATTATACACAAGGGTCACACAGTCTCTCGGCTCACTCATCTAGGCATAAGCTCCGACCTCATCAAGGGCTAACCCAAAACCCTCATTGGTTAATTCTTTATGCTCAGGTACCTTGGGTTTTCTAACCGACTAGCCTAGATCGATAAGAACAGTCCGGTATACGCGAACATCATTCGCTTAGTATGATCATCGAGGGATCACACTCCCACTGAGTTTATATTTTACTATAATAAAAGTCTTTCAATACACACTCATAAGGCCATTAATGGTAAGAAGATAAACTTGATGCATTTGGATTTAAATTTAAGTATCGTCGTATACCTTGCACATTAAGCAAGTAAAACACACTAATTATGAACAAATGATAAACATTCATCTAAGAATAAGGAAAGTGGGCCAAGCTCGCTTTTGCACCAGGGTTCTCCCCGTCTATTTCACAGTATGTTCTGCTTTTGTTTACATGATTGGGATAATTGCTTCTTTCCTATTAAATCTCAGGTTTGTGATCCGATTGATTCTATTGTGTATAGTTCATGGATTCAGCATTCAATCTCATGTAAGCATCATTCTCGGATTGCTTGATCGCTGAGTCAAATATGCCTTGAATCATGAAGCATGCCACAGTTTAAAGTGGATCTATGTAACCTGGCATTTATGTTCTCTCTCAGCTGAGACATTGTGTATTCCCTTCATATCAATATATAAATCGGAATTTTTTTTCAATGATATACCATTAATTTATAAATGATTATAATTCATATAAGCAGGACAGTAATACAGTTTGAATAAATTAATGGATGAAACTAATAAAAGCTAAGGGGCAAGGAGCTTTCAAACAGTTTCCTAATCTTTCTTGCAAAGATGAGCAGTTGTCTCGTTTTCAAGCCGACATAGATTCCAGGCGAGAGGGAGAGATTTATGTTTTATCTATATGAGGTTGCCCTAACAATGAAACTGAGGCACACCACAAAAATTCACTTGATGATGTTTTTTCGATATTGAAAAAGCCCCAAAGCCTATCATCTCAATACATTGACGCATAAAAAGAAAAGAAAAAACAAGGAATTAAAAAAAAGCATTAAGTCTTGAAAATAGTGCATCTTGTAATGTATTATATTTACTGTCAATTTTCAAGATTTTCAAATGTTCATAGATGTACTTGATCTACACTCTTTTTTAAGCTTTAAATTATAAAATTAAAGATAAACATAAATTTCAAGCCATTTCAAATATTTTCGATGCTTAGATGATATCGTTTGATACTATTTGTAGTAGTGCCTTTGATCGTTTAGGGCCTCAACCTTATACAAACCACACCGTTTATCCAAATGTGTTTTCTTGCCCCGGTCCTTACCATTTATGTTCCAAGAAATATCCAATACTCGATTATGACTTGCAAGCACAACTAGGCACACAAACAAAGGTTGAGCCATCTCCATTAATGGAGTGAAGATGAGCCACTCTCGG